TCTCTCTCTCTCTCTCTCTCGCTCTCTCTCTCTCTCTTTCTCTGTCTCTCTCTCTCTCCACAGGAACAGACACACACGCACATGAACACACGCACACACACACACACACACACACACACACACACACACACACACACACACACACACACACACACACAACCCTTCTCTTCTTTCATTCCAGCTCTTTCTTTCTTCCCGCTCTCACTATTAGTATTAGGGCTACTTTCCGTTTCCCTGAAATATTCGCACGCATATAGCAGTGAGTATCTAAATTCAAAACAGCTGATGAAGTAAGAAACGCCAATATTATTGCTGGGGGAATATGCGTATACCGGCGCTGTGGAGGGTTGGTCGGGTTTCAGCTAGCTAGAAGTACATAATTCATGCTGTCAACGCAGAATTTCCGCTACTTATACTGGAAGAAACGAATGCCGCGTTCGGAACCATCGACATCGTAACGAGAAACGATTATTACTCGTTATATCTCTGTTTTCCGTTAAAAACCCACTGATGCTAAATATAGTTTGCGATTTATTCATATGTAGATCAACTACTTACATCGGTTATAATAAACGAGTATCGACCAGGGTCGGGTAGAGAGTCAAAGCATGCGTGTGTTCAAGACCGTAATAATAATAGCGACGTATAATGAAACTATATGACATCGAATAACGCATAGCGATTGACATAAATACGTATAAAAAACGTTGACGAACGAGCGAAGGACTGCTATGAGTAATCAGCCGCTCGCATCGCCGGCGGCAGGCCATGGATCGTGTCCCCACTTGAAAAGAAGTCGCGCGCGCCTCACGTCTGTCCTGTTGCCTCGACCCCGCTACACGCGAGAATAGGTTTATAGCCGCGTCGACAGAGAACCGCAAACTGAGCGCCCGCCTCTCAGCGTGACCAGCATCATCCTGCTTGCTGCGTCTAGCGTCTGCCATCAGCTTATCTATATCGCTGTCTCTGCGAGGCGCGAAGGAACGGTCGCCAGCCGTGCAGGAACCGTGCAGACGATGTTGATGAATGCGGATCATGGGTTAGGAGGCGCGGTAAGGAGGAGCAGGGGGGAGCGGCGTCGCGTGGGCTGAAGAAAGCTCTCGTACTATTTACACCACTCTCGCTCATATAGCTGATTACGTGCTCGGCTTACGTGCGAGGCGTGTGGCTGGACACCATCGATCATCAGTGATGGTAGAGAAGTCCAGTGTGCGGCACGGGAGTCATGAAGCCGTACGGCGAGGCGACGGAGAACGGCGGCCGGAAATGTCCCGGATAAAGCCCAGAGAGCGTCATGCCCATAGAGGGCGCCAGCATCGGCTTGGCGGCCATCTTTAGCTTCTCGATTTCGGCTTCCTGCAGACGCTTCGCTTTGGCACGCCTGTTCTGGAACCAGATTTTCACCTGTGTTTCGGTGAGTTCCAGCGAGCTGGAGAACTCGGCGCGCTCGGCGATCGACAGATACTGCTTCATGCGAAACTTCCGCTCTAGCGCCAACAGCTGCTGCGTCGTGAACGGCGTGCGCGGCTTCCGGTTCGCCTTGTGCTTTCGTAGCATGCCGACGCACGACGCCAGCGGTTTGACGGTCTTCTGCTCGTCCATGTCTGCAAGAGTTAAACGACGCGCACCGCGTGAATATACTTCGTAATCACAAATAAGCCACGCACATCGCTACGCTGCGCGATCGTTTACTGCAGCGGGTAGGTCAGCCACACATGTATGAATGTTCGAGCGATAATTGGTAATCGGAAGAGGAGAGGCAGAATTAGTAGGGAAGGGGGACGACGAGGTAACACTAATGGAGGAGGGGAGAGCGGACATATCATTAAGGGAATTATATCGGTTAGATACATTTTATCGGAGAGGCGATAATTATTCACGAGGGATAACTATTAGAGATTAAATTAATTCGAGATAATCTCGTGAGAGGTGAGATGAGATAATCTTGATAGGGCAGGGGCAATATATAATCGCAATCTGGGTGTATGACGAAGCGCTGCCATAAAGGGATTACAGCCTAAATATTTAATTTACAATTTTTCCTATTCGGCTTTACACGTCATCGCTCTACAATTATTATAATATTTATAGTATCGAAAATAATTATTGATGTCTGCTAAACGAGTACAAATAGATAACAGACACAAACATAAAGGATGGACCGGTTCTAGCCTGAGCCTATTCAACATGAATATGCGTAATACATGAATAACGTGCGAAAGACGCCTGCATACATTTCCGCCCATATAACAACTGTCTGTCTATTCGAAGCCTGCAAAAATATCTTACGCGGCAGCAGCAATTTACTGGAACCCGCAGCACGAGGTTTCGACGGCCGTAACGAATGAAACAATTATAGATCGTCTGGTGTCTCGCCTTACGGTTTGTCGTATTCGTTATTGACAAATTAGAGAGCATTCATGCCGTGTGGGCGCCTGCATATAGTCGGTCGTACATAATCCACGCCGCAACAGATGTCCCCTATAATCATTTATCGGCTGCTTCATGTGCGATACAGTAGGAATTGTTTGATCGAGCGAGCGATGATACGTGTTTGAATAATGGCTGATCTTCGTTTTATGAGCGCGCCTAATTTTTTCGCATGTTTTTAGCTTTGGCGTTGAATAGTTTAATCGTTGAGTATTTAACTGTCGTTATTTACGGAGGAAAAGAGCGCGTTGATAAAACGCTAGAACCTAGTGATAGTAATACTAATAGTAATAGTATACTATACGCATGTGCGTAGAGCGTGCCAAGCAGAGCCAGTACTAAGTAGTAGCATGCTCAATGAAAATTCTTCAAGCAGATAATAGATTGCCATCAAGCATTGCCGCGTGAGTCTTATACTTATCACGAAAGTTGTTTTTCACCTTCAAAGTTTACAGAGCTCTAGCGCAGTGATACGATCTGTAAATTATACAGTGCAACGACTGGCGGGAAAATGTTTGGACTGATGAAAGGGTAGACTACATTGCTGAAATACGTTTTGCCGGGAAACCGTTGCTAACTATATGGCCTTACGATCCACAGATACACAGTTAACACGGCGCTGTGTAGAAATCACGAGTGTCAGATGAGGGTTACTTCTCAATATTATCCATATGTTGTCGTGCCTATTATCGGTTCCATTTATTGTCAAGCATGGACGGCGTAATTCACATATGTGTATCGGTGTGTATGCGTACTTGCGTGAGTGCACTTGTGTTATATAGGTGTGTGTGGGTGTGGGTGTGGGTGTGGGTGTGGGTGTGGGTGTGGGTGTGGGTTACACTTGTGCTTGCGCGTGTGTCTGCGTGGCTGTTTATATATGTGACCTTTCGTGTAACAGCATCAGTAGTGTAGTATTAGTAACGATTATACATCGCTTGCGAAATAAAGAAGTGAATGCCTATGGTAAGCGCTGAAATACACATATGTATGCGTGCGTGCGAGCGTGCGTGCGTGTATTCTGCGTGTGTGTGTGCACCCAATCACACTATACAAATACTTACTCGTCGGTGACGTTCTGCTGCCGTTGAGCCACGAGAAGTTCGTCGGGCAGGAGGCCCAGCTAACGGACACGTCGGCAGGCGGCGGGATGCTGATCTGCGGCGGAATCATGTACTCTTTGCCGACCGGCTGCGGCGAATCTAGCTCCAGGATTCCCTCGACGGTGAAGGGCCGCTTGCCTTCGCGCCGCGTTCTGTCAGAGTCCTTCGCTATCAGCGACTCGACGCTGAAGCTGCTACACGTCTCCTTCGTCGGGCTGCTGTTCGTCGTCGTCGTCGTCGGTGGCGGCGTCGTCGGCGGCGACCGTCGGTTACTCGGCTGCAGCCGACTGAACGCCGACGTCGTGCCCGACTGCAGGGAGATGTTGCTGTGCATCATGTTCGTTGCTGTCTTCGTTGGCGGCGCGCTCTGTCTCTCTCTCTCTCGCGCAACTGAGAATCTGATGCAGCTGGTTTCCTGAGCGGTTGTCACTGGCCTTATAGCACACAGGCACGATGCGCGACGCGATGTGTGTCGGTGTGTGTCAGCGTGTGAGTGTGTGCGACGGCACTGACTGGCTGGCACGACAGTGAGCCGGTAGAGCTGCGGGCGCTAGCTAAGACCTCGCGTCCACGCATCTGGTCGTGACGTCACGCTGAGCATTTTAGCTAATTGGCGCGGCGGTAAATAGCAGATAATAGATAATAAATTGCCTGTTTATAAATACAAACCACTCGTTGCGGCGCTTTATTGCCGCCGAGGCACCTCATCGGGTAAACACGCGGATTAGCATTGGGACGTGGGCGTGGCCGTGCGCGCGCAGCGCTCCAATCGCAGCCGGCAGCAGGCAGCGGTGGGCGTGGCTGCGCGGCGGTGCGACGCAGGCGCGGGGGAGCGAGCTTCCAATATTGGAAGCGCCGAGCGGCCGGCGTTTATTGCTCGAGCGTACTCCCAAAAGAGTGATCAATTGCGAGTGTCTTTAAGAAGGCTAATTGGCATGGCGAGCAATCTGTCACGCAGCTGTCACGACGAAGAATGGCAGTGTCATGGCAGACGAACATCGTTCGCTTGCAGGCGCCATCGCGCGGGCCCATCAAAGGCCATAAACCTCCCGTCCTATATGCATCTCAAAACTGTTATACACCGCCCTGCGGAATCACTTAATGCAACGGCCGAGATAGGCCGGTGACTAGTGTGCCCGCGGCTGCCATATACACGCCGCCGACCACGAAAATCTACCTTAACGCCTCAAAGGCGCGACTATAAACCCGAGCGCCCGTAATGGACGGTGTCGTAAACCCGATGATTTACTAGGAGTCGATGCAGAGTTGGCGGCGGCGGCGAGATATTCGCGTCTCTTGTCACCGGTCACCGTTAGATTTCGCCCCGCGCTCCCGTCTTACGCGACAGCATGTGTGACACGAGCACGGCTACTAGCGAGAAGCCGCTACGGACTCCACTCGACAACGGCTACTAATACAAAAGAAGAGCTTTTTCGCCAATGCGCTACAGAAGAGATAGCCGTAAGCTCAAGTAAGCGCGAACATCGGGTATTATCAAACATAAAATGTATTATCAAATATAAATGTAATATCAAATATAAAATCAAATATAATCGTATATGACCAAAAATGCGAGCATGCAGACGAGACAAGTTCGCGATGAGCATAGACGACGTTTTATAAAAAGCTACTACGTCACGAAGAGTACACGCGTATATGTGTGTGTGTTCTGGCATTTTAGTGCGTTTTTTTTTATAGACACCTCTCGCGATCGTAGACTGTCAACAATGAGAGACTCGATCAAAATAAGCCGTTCTATTCGCTGTGAAAATTGAATTTCAGCGCGGAGTTAGTAGTAACGTAAATGTCGCGATCACAGTGCCCTTGTGTGCAGGTGCGGCACATGCGCAGCGCGTGCGCGCGGTGCAGGTATTGTGCAGGTATACGGCAGGTATTGTGCAGGTATACGACAGGTATTGTGCAGGTATACGACAGGTATTGTGCAGGTGTAGCGTCATTATGGAGGAGCTAATGCACGGCGCTACAAAAACCCTACACCTGTTCGCTAGTGGGATAATTGTGTGACCAGACAAACGAAAGCATAAATTATTAGCAAGTGTCCGATAGTGAGGTATTGTCATATAATAAGATATCCATGATTTCCACAGATGGTGGATGGGCTGGGAGGATGGATGAATGCATTGTACTCAAAGTGTAAAGACTGAAATTTCTTTCTGATATATCAATAACAGGCGTCACCACCCAAGATAATGTATGTGTATACGCTCTGGGAAAGTATTTGTGACAATTCCAGCTTGTCTATACGTGTTTAGCAGCGACAACAGTGCAACCAACCGCTCTCGCTTCAACTTAATCAGCTGTAACGTGGCAATGACGAACATTCACCATGTATTTTTTTCTTGCGCAGTAAATTAGTTTCATACTAGCTTAATCAACCAATTTAAATGCTGTTTCTAAACCACCTAAAAATAGACTTGCTGTACACAATATTCGAACGCACTAGTTTTACGGAATGCGCATCCTCTCCTCTACCTTGGTCTCTTCTCCTCTCATGAGCACCCCCTTTCTTTTCCTTTTCTCTCCTTTCCTCTACTCTCATCTCTTCGCCTCTCCTCTTCTTCCTTCCTCATCTCCCCTGCTCATTTCTCCTATACAAGTTACTTCTCATCTCACATCGTTTTGTTTTAATCGTCTCGTTTTTCGTACTCTCGCCGCTCCCACATATCTCCCCTATCTGCTCCTCTTTCTTCATATTTCCTCTCCTTCCTCTCTCTCCCTCATCCCCTGTCCATTTAGACTCCCTTTTCGTTTAACGCCTCTGTGGGTCGCACCGCACCTTCTCTCTAATCCCCTCCTGGTTAGCGGCAGATGAACGTGCGCATAAACTGTTAGAAAAATGGCGAAAACCTGGGTCGTATTATTAATAGTTTTAACACGACCGTCGATCCGTGAAATCAGCGCCCCTTAATTGTGAACACCGACTACGGGGAATCGTAATTGAGTGCTGCTGGATGGGCTGATTGTGTCATAACGTAGCCGCCTATAAGGAGATGACATTTGCTAGGATTTTACAGCCGCAATGCTCGTATGTTTTATAGCTGACCGTATATAGCTCGAGGTTTATTGCGGGCCATTTCAACGGCCCTCGACAATGGGCCGCCATTTAATAATGAGGAACACTCGACTTTACGAGGGTCGTTCCTCGGCCGGACAATAGAGGGCGGTCTCGGCAGGCAGTCGTTGTTTACTGCAGCACTCCACATGAAGGGGACGTCGGCTTGCAATGCAATAGCAGTTTTACGGCTGTCATATATATCGCGGCACGATATACGCCCTGGGTACGGTATATGGACTCACGGCCAGAGGGCTTAGTTTTCTAGATGTTTGTCGCATCTCCTGACAGATGGCATAGAGATGACAATTATGAATTCAGCGGAGGAGCCGCCATGTTGACGAACCCTATATATAGTACGGAAATGTAAATAACATACATCCTAAACAGATTAGTTATGGAATACCACAGCATCATTAGCATGTGGTAAGAGTGTATTTTATTTGTTCGCTCTAGCTCGTCATACTCGTGAGCGTACAAAAAATGTAGGCTATATCGTTCTAACGAAGCGTCGACGTGTTTTAGCCTCGCTAACAGGAGCAAATAATCCACGAGTTTTCGAATTCACTCGAAATCGTTTTGTGCACGCAGCGGTCACGCGTGCGATGTTGTTCGACCATTGTGTAGCTAATAACGCGAACTGATTTCTGCGCGCGTGCGTATCGCGGTCGCACCACGCATGGTTTATGCATGAACCGGAGTCCAACGCTTATGCTCGCGTGGGCTGGTGATGAATGGAGCACAAGAGCGAGCCAAATCTTGATAAAAATAAATCGCGGCCGCGCCTCGCAAGGGAGCCAACGACAATGTTGGCAGGCGAATTCATCGCGCATCGGGCGAGACGCCCGCGTGCACGGGTCAGCCCGCGTGCACGGGTCAGCCCGCGTACACGGGTCAGCCCGCATGCACGGGGCAGCCCGCGTGCACGGGTCAGCCCGCGTGCACGGGTCAGCCCGCGTGCACGGGTCAGCCCGCATGCACGGGGCAGCCCGCATGCACGGGTCAGCTCGCGTGCACGAGCCAGCCCGCGTGCACGGGGCAGCCCGCGTGCACGAGCCAGCCCGCGTGCACGGGGCAGCCCGCGTGCACGGGTCAGCAGGCCAGCCCGCGTGCAGCGGGGCAGCGCCGCGTGCACGAGCCAGCCCGCCGTGCACGAGCCAGCCCCGCGATGGCAGGCGGGTCAGCTCGCCGTCGTCGGATAGCGGCCGCGTGCGGGGCCGCGCGTGCACGGGTCGAGCCCGCGTGGCTACGGGTCCCGCTCCGCGTGTACACGGATCAGGCGCCGCGTGGCGGGGGGCCCGGCGTGTCGGGGGCAGCCGCGCGTGCACGGGCAGCCCGCGTGTAGCGGGTCAGCCCGCGTGTACGGGTCAGCCCGCGGGCAGGGCATGCACGGGTTCCAGCCGCGCTTGGCACGGGGCAGCCGCGTGTAGCGGGTTCTGCAGGTCCCCGCGTGCCAACCGGGGGCGCGAATTTTTTTTTCCTCACCACATATCCGTCCGACAGAATCTGATTGTCTGTGATGGTTCATCCTCGTCTGCTGGATTGGTCTCAAAAACCCTTGTGCTGGCGTTATTAGGCTAGATGTCATGTGGGCTATTGTCTCCCATGCAAGCTCTTTCTGGGCGTAATGGAGTAGCAGCACGCAGCTTTAATGCTCTGAAAGGTCGGTGGTTCGAATCCACCGTTTGCTTGTTTAATTTTATTTTTTTTGTCTTTGTATTAGGCTTAGGGCTTAGGGTAGGGTTTAGGATTAGGGTTAGGGTAGGGTTTCGGGTTAGGTATTAGGGATTGGGTCCATAATGATCGCTATACCGTCATAATGATACGTCATATAAACAGACAATTAGAGCACGTCCCAGAAATTCTGGAATGGATAATGTTGGTTAGGAAAAAAACCTTCGCGCACGGGGGCCCGCGTGGCGTCCCGCGCTCATCGCCGGTGACCACCAGAGACGCGCTGCTGGCGTCAAGAACGAGTTAACTGTGATGACAGCAATGCGCCCGACGGCGCGCGCGTCCTTAGATTCGCCGGTTACCTGCGCGATCGCGTAACAACAAACAGCTACGCGCAGCAGTAATGTCGGTGATAATCGCAACGAGTGCGTGCCTTTACGTCCGGCGTACGCTCTATATGTTCGCTGCTTCTACATTAGCATGCACGTAAATTACGAATATTTGTATTCTTCGTACATGCATGCCATTTAATCTGATTCAAGCTGCCGGTTATGATGCCACCTATAATGAGGAACGCTCGAGCGCGACACGGACGTCATCAAACTTGATTAATCATATCTTAACTGCATATCGACTATCACGGCTTGTACGAATTGCTTGGCTTCTTCAATTCGGTGACTGCGCCGCATAAAATTATAATACGCATCTGAGCACGTATTAGTGCGTTCTTATGTTTGTAACAAAATCCCGTA